TGACCTGCCAGTCTAGCCTGGGAAAAGGATGGTATTGGCTGGGGAGCTGAACCTTTCCTGAGTGCACAGTTTTGGGCCAGGAGATTTAAATAAAGGGAAGGGAGAAACATGGCCTCTTTCTTCCCCTCGCTTGCCTTGTTGGGGTGGGGGGCGGGTGGAGCACTTGCAGCATGGACATGTGGTGCATGCAGTTAGGAATAAGTTAAACTGTCTGGATGATCATGCGGCAGCTTCCTGCAGTTTCCCCAAGTATGGCATTTTTTTTTTTTAATGGGAGAAGAAACTCTGGGCACAGCCTTGGATTAGTGTGGCAGGGAGTGGTGGGGTTATTTTTCTCTGGGTGTTCTGGAGGGGAGGGACTCTGAGGCAGAAGCCTGCCATTCTTCCAAAATTGTGTACCTTTTGAAGACTTGACCTCTTTTTTTTTTCACTAACTCTCTGCCTCCAGAGTTTTTCTATGGGTGGCGGGCAGCAGAGCCCCATTTAACAGTAAGGCTTGACTTCTGCTCTGTAAGGAGACTTTCTGGGTGATTCTTGATCACACTAAAGTTTAAATCACCAGAGACCCTTCTCTGTTTTACTCATTGATGTATCCAGGTGCCTAGAATAGCAATGGACACAGCTCAATAAATACCTGTTGAAGGAATGAACATCCGAAGTATATGAGGCACTTGGAGCCTCCAATTATGGGTACCTTCCACACCGTTTAATCCAAAGTGATGTCATAAAACAAGTATAATGTGAAGGGGACACTGAAGTTTTGCCACACCAAAATATGCTTTTTGGGATATTGACTTTAAACTGGTTATTAAGAAACAAAAGACTCAAGAGTCTTTGACCCTTTCCATTATCTGCTTAAAGGAAGGGACACCTCACTTAGTCTCATAATATACACTCAGTGTGGCAAAGAAAGATATTTAGCAAAGCCTATTTGTTTAACGTGCCTCTGTGTCCCATTGTTATTGGGTGGCCCAGCAAGAATTTGTTTACATGTTGTCCAAAATGTAAAGCCTGCCTCCCTCTCCTTTGTCCAAAATGGCTTATAATCCTCAACTGTTCAATGCATCTTCCAGTCTCATTCTATGGTGCGCCTTAATGTAGTAAATTTTAGACATTTTCTCCTCTTAGTCTGTTTCATGTTAATTTGATTATTAACTCAGCAAGAACTTAGAAGGTGGGAGGAAAAATTATTTTCCTCACAAACGTCATATCCCCCAAGGGACCTTCCCAGCTAGGCTGAGGGGTAGGAGAATCTCTCCTTTCTCTACCCAACAGCCTCAGCAAATTGTCCCCACCTAAATTGGCCTCTTCCTGCCTATACTTAACTGCAAAAGCTGTGATACCTGCCTCACATCTTTGTGTACTTAAAATTATTTCTTTTAAAAGGGATTAATAAAACTAATTAGGGTAAAATTAGAACCCTAGATCCAGCATGTGAGTAAATATCTCTCTGCTTACTACCCATAACTAAAGCTAGGAAAACTTACAAGCTATTATAGGTAGAATACTTAAGGGATCAAGTTTCCTTCCTAAAGAGAAGGCAAGCAAAATGCAATCTTGCTTTTTAATATATTGTACTGACTGTATTTTATAATGTATTAAGAATCCACTCCACTGTATCCTTAATAAGTAAGAGATTAAAAAAACCCTGGTAGATCTAGACAATGGAATACTACTCAGTAATAACAAAGAAAAACTATTGATACAACATGAATCTCAAATGCATTACGCTAACGGAAAAAGGCAACCTCAAAAGATTATATACTGTAGGATCCTCTTATTATATGACATCCAGGAAAAGGTAAAACTAAAGGAAGAGGGAATGAATCAGTGGTTGCCTAATTAGGGTTAGAAGTGGAGGACAAGTTTCACTACAAAGGAGTAGCATGGGGAATTTTTTTGGGTGATGGAACAATTTTGTGTCCTGATTGAAGTGGTAGTTACATAAACCTATGTATGTGTTAAAACAACTCATAGAACTGTACACTCCGCCCAAATAATGAATTTACTGTATGTAATTGTATTTTAAGAGAATCCACAATTAGCTAAAGAGAGTATATTCAATAAATCATGTTGGGAAAATTGGACAGATGTATGCAGAAAAAGGAAACTAGACCACCTTCTTATACCACACACAAGAATAAATTCAAAACGGATTAGAGGCTTAAATGTTAGACCTAAAACCATAAAAATTCTAGAAGAAAACATTAGCAATAAAACTCAGACATTGTTCATAGCAATATTTTATCTGATGTATGTCCTCAGGCAAGGGAAACAAAAGAAAAAATACACAAATGGGACTACATCAAACTAAAAGGTTTTTGCCCACTAGAGTAAACCGTCAACAACAACAAAAAAAAGACAACAAACTGAATGGGAGAATATATTCATTGATATATCTGATAAGGGGTTGATACCCAACATTTATAAAGAACTTAAAAACTCAACACCAAAAAAAAAGCAATCCAATTAAAAAACAGGCAAAGGATAGACATTTCTGCAAAGGGGACATACAGATGGCCAACAGACATATGAAGATGTTCAGTCACTAATCATCACAGCAATGCAAATTTTAAAACCACAATGAGGTATCACCTCACACCTGTCAGAATGGGCATCTTCAATAAATGAACAAACAACAAGTGTTGGTGAGGATGTGGAGAAAGGGGAGCCCTTTGCACTGTTGGTGGGAATGCACATTGGTGCAGCCACTGTGGAAAGCAGTATGGAGCTTTCTCAAAAAATTAAAAATGGATCTGCTTTTTGACCCAGCGATCCCTCTTCTGGGAATATATCTGAAGAAACTCAAAATGCTAATTAGAAAGAACCTAAGCACTCCTTTGTTTATCGCAGTGTTACTTACAATCACCAAGATATGGAAGCAGCCCAAGTGTACATCAGTAGATGAGTGGATAAAACAACTATGGAGCAGTTACACAATGGACTACTACTTGGCCATAAAAAAAAAGAAAAAAAATTTACCCTTTGCGACAGCATGGATGGGCCTGGAGAACATTACACTAAGTGAAATAAGCCAGTCAGAAAAAGACAAATACCATATGATTTCACTCATATGTGGAATCAAATGAACAAACTGAACTAACATGCATAATGGAGGCAAACTCATAGATAGAGGGTAGGATGACAGCTATGGGGGAAGGTTAGGAGGTGGAGGGAGTAAAAGGAAAAAGGACTCATGGGCACGGACAACAGTGTGGTGATTGTGGGGCGGGGAGAGGAGGGTTTCAGGATAGGATAGGTCATAATGGAAAAAAACATTTAAGAAAAAAGTGAAATAATCTCTTGCATACACAACATAAACTCCTTAGGTCTCTGAGAGTCCCGAGACAACTTCCTTTCCTTTGATCAGTTTATCAATGTGGGACACAGGGGAACACGTGGTCTTGGAGTACGAGTGTGAATGTGAGGAAACACTGCTATCTACGGTTTATGGTGAGCACATCACACTGGTGCCAAATTTAGCATGTTATCAACTGGAAACCGTTTTGTAGAAAATTTCTTTATTATAGTGCAAATACCTTTCAGCAGTGACATAATAATGTAAGAACACATTTAGCACATTTTACACCACACAGTAAATAAGAAAGTGTTTCTTTGAAAATATCTCATCAGAGGAACATTACCTCTACATTAATGCCAGAAAATGCCAAGGCTGTTTCTCTCAAGGCAACAGGGCTCCCTTCCTCTTTTGGGATATTTTCTTTTTAATACAAATGAAAGGATTTGCCATTTTAACAAATCACCATCAATTCTAAGAGTGATCTGTTAGAGGGTTAGAGAGTGGCAAGATTTGAAATGGGGTTCCAAATAAAAAAATAAAAATAAAAGAACTTTAAGACATTTCTGAGATAGCCCAGAAGTAGAAGTCACTTCTATTAACTTTTAAGTAGATATAAACATTCACTCCAATTTTGATGCAGAAATGGACAGATTGTCTAAAGCCTGCCTTTTATTCCCCCAGAGCCTGTTTCACTCCTTGGTTTTGGTCACATTGCAAAACGAGGGCTCTGGTCAGAAATAACTCCTTACATACCCAAATGCTTTCCTGTGAAGCTTTAAATTGCACTTTCCATCCTGAATGCCCATCTTGGACCTCACATGCCAATGAGAGGATGTGAACATTGTCTCCAGTCTACAACTAATGATTAGTACAGCTAGATTAGGCCCCTGCTAATTTACCTGTATGTGAATCAAACTATCACATCATTTAGATTAATTTCAATAGGCTTAACCAAGAGGTTCCCACTGACCTTGTAGAGGAATGAAGGGTTAACAGCCTATGCTAAGCTGCCTAAGGGCTTGGCTGCTAACCAGTTAGCTGATAGGTAGAGAGTAGAGTGTCAATTCCAGTCAGTTACACTCCCAACTCCTCTAGTTTCTGCTGAATTATGCAGGGGGTGGGAATGGATGGCCACTCAAGGAAACCTCCTGTGGGGGTCTTCCACAATAAGTAGACTAAAAGCCCCTCCACGTATATTTCAGGATGCCCTCTAAGTTTCCCTACAAACACTCCTCAAAATCTAGTGGCTTTGTGAGCCACAAGAAGTTAATCACAGGCTTGAAAATACCTGGAGCCACAGAACAGCTCTCTTGGCTGAATATGGCTGATTAGGTCAGTTGGTCCATAAAGCTTTTCAATGCTCAGCCAGTCTTGTTGGGTAAAGTATCTTCTTATATAACACAATGGAACTGTGCTAAACAGTTTCAAAGGTTAGAAGAATCCAAATATATCACCTATAAAAAAATTCGAAATTTCAGTTTTCTTTTTCTTAGACTTTGGTACTTGAAACACTGTCTACATTCTCGACACATGAAATGACACAGCCATTTCAGTGCCTCTGCATGTTGTGTAAAAAAAACCTCAAAAGCAAAGCAGGGCAAGGATATGCCATAAGAAGATGCGGTATGCTGTACAAACAAAACCTAAATTATATATAAATACACCCCCACCCCAGCACCCCTTCCTCCCTATCCCCCTACTACTTGACCAAGGCAATGCCAAGGGTCTTTCTCCCTAGAGCCAATGCAGTTTGAGAAGTTCAGCCTCCAGGACTCCAACTAGCCCTTGCCTCTCACTGACATTTACGGTAGTGCAGGCTCCTCCGGGAGAGGCACTGCTGTCTGATCAGTTGGGAGTATTAGTTGGGAGTATTCACACTATTGGCTGGACTCAAAGACCTGGAGTTCTGGGAGTTAACCTTTCAGATAAACTAAGCGGATCATTTCCTAATCTGGAGCATGTCTTATCCTAGTATCTCAGCAGAGCCAACAAAGTAGGAAGCACCTTCTACTCTGAAGCTGCAAAGGCATTGCTTAGGGATACTGGTGAGGGTCACGTAATGAAAGGGATACAATGAGCTAATAGCTTAAGTTGATATAAATTATTTGCAAGTAAGTTATTTGGGGCCATTTGCTTCTGCTTTACACTGCATTCCAGTATCATTTTCATATTATACTCTTAAAAGTTTATATAATAGTTATTTAAAAATTGTCTATGCAATCACCTCATATGTTGTCAATTAGTTTAATAGCAACTTAAGGAGCCATTATGTAAATCTAGGGAAACGTAGCTAGAGTTTTTAAAAAGCCAATACTGTGCTAATTCACAGTAAGGAGAAAAAGCAATGTAAATATAATTTTACATTAATTATCAATAACTTGAAAAGCAGTTTTACCAAAATGATGGAAAGCCTTCCCAAAAGCACTTACAGCAATTTATATCAAGAGATACTAAGTTTAGGGGTCTGGAGGATATGAGTCAATTCTTTAAGGTACAGATCCACCTGTTTCATGATTGTAGTATGTACGTCCCCCACCGAACCTAACATATTTGTACATTCAAAAGTTCAAAACTTGTTGTTCTTGAGATATTAATCATTTTCTAATACACATGTTGAGTATAAATAAATATGAGAAAGCTTTAAAAATCTGAATTAACATTATGCTATGCAAAAAACCAAAAAACAAAAAAACAACCAAACAAACCTTGAACAACCTACATTCTATGTAAATACCCTGACTAAAATGTTGGTTGTGCTACGCAATTCCACTTCAGTGCAGAAATGAGTTGATTTCGGTGTACCGTTTTTGTTGTTATTTTGTCTTTAGCACTTTTGTTTCTAAACATCGCCTTGCTTTGAAAAGATAAATAACTTGCTACCAAATCACAAATCATCACAAATCCATTTCAGTTTAGTCTGAATAAATTCCAGCATAAATGTATTACTTTGTTCCGGGAATAATGGCTCGGTGTCTTTGTTCCGACAGCTTCTTAAGGGCAAACCTCAGCTGAAGCTGTCATTTTGGGTTTAAACTGCAAAGAAGAGACAGTGAAGCTTGCCTTTTGTTTTTGTTTCCTTTTTAAGTTTCCAGATGTTGCCAAGATACTTCTTCCAGACCGAAAGTCAGAGTTGTGGCACCTGATCCTATTTGAAAAGAGGTGGTTTAAATGACATCAGCCAAGCTTAGTGATCTGGAGGTCCCCATTTATCTTTATGGTGTCAATTGCAGATAACGTGGGAATGCGGTGGTAAAAATCAAAAAGTTGATGTCCATCCACAAATACTCTGAAACGTGGGTGCTCACAGAGAATTTCCACCTGGGAGAAATAAAATAATAACCTCAGTTCACAATTTCAATGAACCGTCCTGGGGAAAACAAAAAAATAATACTTCATTTTACAGAAAGAAAGGCAACATCTTCAGTGGTTCTTACACAATGGAGTGCATTGGAATCACAAAGAAGCTTTGCTAGAACAGATTGCTGCGCTCCATCCCTAAGTATTTTAATTTAGTAGGTCTAGGATAAGATCTACAAATCTACATTTCCACCAAGTTCCAAGGGGATGCTGCTTTGCTGGAAGGAGGAACACACTGAGTCAATCATTGCTCTACAGTATTCAGTATCTTTAAAAATTTTTTAAATTGTTTATGCTTTAACACTTTTCCCTCCTCTTTGCACTCTAGAAAGTGAAGGTGGTATAGCTTTATTTATATGGCGTGTAATGCCTCCGCTATCATTCCCATGAATAATCTATCCCGGCTTCAGAGGAGCCCCTCAAAAGGCAGAACTGGTCCCTGCTAGTCGCATGTAATAATAGTCTTGACACTCAAAACTGGTAAACACTAAAGCAGAGGTTACACCGTAATTACCATTGCACCAAGGATGTATAATTAACAAGGCTTTGTTAAGCCAAACAGAAATACTGATTCCATATGGTAAAAGCTTTTTCTTCCTCTTTTCATTAAGTAATTCACCATAGAGTTTAATCACTGGTTCTGTGCTGTGTACTTATTAAAAGCATTGGTATTCACCATGCAAGGAGAGATTCCATATGTGATATTAGTCACATTTAATTCATATTGTTACTAAAATTATATCACCAAGAAGGGCTGACTTCATTTCAATTTTGTTGTTGGGAGCATTATATTCTTCTTGGCAGTCAGCAGCTCTGTCTACTCACGCTCATGAGTTATGCATTAAGATTCATAATTAAGAAACTGTCACAGTCAGGAGGAGCCGCAGGGGCCATTACCATCCTAGAGGAAGGGGAGGGCAGGGATAATGAGTAGGGATGCCTTCCCCAGGCTACGACTGGAAGGGCAGCCATCTCAATTCTATTATTGATATGAAAAGTCATGGATTCTTATTTCCCTGACCCAGACTGTAAGATGGGAAGAAACATAATTACTTCTTCATAGGGCCCTTGTAAATTTCTAGATGAATGGCAACAGGTAGGTAGTTTTGCTTTATTAGGAGTATATGCAACACAGAGCTTTTAACTGAGTTGTTACTGTGATTTTTGTTAACAAGGAGCAATGTGGACAACTTCATCACCTGGTCTGACATTTCAGTAAATCCTTTCTTAACACATTACTGACTTGTGTCTCTTACTTGGTGTTGTCTTTCATAGAGGAAGGTGCTAATGCAGCTTAATTGGATGGAAAGTTTGGGCTATGCTTCTTGTGGGGTAGATAGTGGGGAGCATATCTATCCTCATCAGGCCCACGGAAAGAAATGTGTCAGCCACATAGCCTATGACAATGAAATAGACTGAGGCTACTTAACCCAGAGGGGGAAACAAAGACATAGCCAAGCCTTGAGAAAATGAAATGATAATCACTAGATTCTTTAAAAGGTCATAACTCATAAGGTTTAGTGCTAAAGGATGAGGGAAAAAATGAGGAAAATTAATATTTATTAACCAATTAGCTATTTTGAGACAAGTATCTATTATATGCCTAGTACAACAGTGAGCCCTACATAGAAAAGTACTGTTAACAAGCAGGACATGTAAATATGAGTTTGTTTACTAAAAGCAATGGCTAAATAGAGCAAGAGCTACTATGATGAACATAAAATCATATCATCAAACAGAACTCTTGATCTTTTTTTCACCATTGGGTGACAAATTTCCTGGACATGCAAAAATTCTGGCTGCTTAAAGCATTCTTGGCACACATTAGAGGAGAAAAACATCATCGCCCTGCCAGTGGTTGGAGCTGAAGCGCTTGAGGTACTCACCCTGAATGGCTGGTCTGGGATGAATGGAAAGTAAGGGATTGCTGACTGTTCTTCACCCCTTTCGCCATTTATACAAGAATTTCTGAGTAGCTGCCGGTCTGTGAACACAGCTTTGAGTTCAATTGCCACATCAGCCGGAGGATCTTCCGAGTCACCACAGGTCAAGCTGATGGCAAAGCTGGTAAGAAAATCATCTTATTTATTCAGGGTTGGATATAACAACATTTAACAATGACCCAATCTCCCATAGTTCTTCCTTCTTCTCAGGGTTTATCAGCTTTTAATTGGACAGTACTCTTTATACAGGAGGTTAGACTAGGTATGGAGAAGTAGGATTACAATCAAATCAGTTACAGTATTTTGTTACATAAAGAAGGCACTGGTGGCATTGAAAATGACTAATATTCGGGATTTCAAATACCCCACACTACTCACACATCTGTATCTTAATCCATTTAGGAATTATCAAAAACACCCCAAAAACTGACCAGGGGAAATAGTATCTTGTAAATTTGGTCCTCATTTATTCCGATAGTTCTTGCTCCAAGCACCATGTTTAAAAAACATTAAAAAAAATTCCTTTGGCCTCCCTAAGGGTCAAAGAGAAAATGATGTGGGCCTATATTTATAATCTCTGATATAAATAGCTGTCTGGAGAAATGATGGCTGGAATTCATACACATTCTTTTCATGGGAACATGGTACTTTCTTGGCACTTCCAACTAGCGACACTGGCCACAGGGAGAGGAAGAGGAGGAGCAGTAAACAGGAGTGGGCAGGACCTTGTAACTGCCTGATAGCTCCGCCTTACCTCTCAGGGTTGAGGTCAACGATGCCCATCACTAACACCTTCTTGCCTGGTCTCATGCCCCCTTTAATATGCCCACAAAATGGAACAATCTGCAGAGGATGACAGAGGAAACAAGAACTTTACAGCCTGTAAGGGAAGAGTCAAGCCCTCAGATCCTGGGGTCCTGACCCATTAGAAAATGCAATTAAAAAGGAACAAGGTACAGGCAGAGACACAGAGCACAGAGCAAAATCATTTACCAGTCGTGGGAAGTACACCTCGGCTTGAACTGGAGAGCCCAAGGAGTTGTTTAAATGTCCACCATCTAGTTTCTAAAAATAGAAGCACACATATTGTCTTTCCAAAGGCTCGTGTTTTGGGGAGTGGGGGTGCGGGGTATGGGAGAGGGCAAGGAAGAACCTACACAGATCCGGCGGAACCCAGCAACCCTTACAGAATACAGGCAGCGTCTGCAGATGCTGCCGCCTCTGTCCATTGAATAACCGCATAAACCCCCAGAACAAAACCCGTCCTTTCCAGCTGGTCGTTAAGCCCCTTAAGACCTCCAGATCCTTCACATCTAGATCAAAATCAAGGTCGAGGCACAAGGGGAAGCCAGAGCCCAGCACTGAAGGAGGGAAGGCCCCTCTCTAACCGCAAACGCATCCGCACCCGCAGTTTCACAGGCCTGTTCTCCCGGACGTGGCGGGAGTGGAGCGGCCGGGCTCAACTTCTCCCGGGAGCGGAAGGCGCAGACCCATTTCCAAGGGGGAATCCCCAGTCGGGGGCGGACGCGGGGCGCGCGCCCCGACACACTCACGCACGCGCACCCACACACGTGCAACGTGCACACACCTGGCCGGGGGTGCACGGCTCGAAGGAGGCTGTTAGTTACCCCATCCCGCCTCCAAACACCCTCGCCACCAGAAGCCCCCCCGCCCCCAGCCCAGGGCACCCTTTTCGCTCCCACGCCGGCTACGCACAAGGGCTCTTGCTACAGGTACAGGGGCGCCTTCCCACGCTGGGGGCGCCGGGCTGGGCCTCAGTTTCCACCACCGCTCGACTGGAGCAGGCGGCGCGGCGTGGGGGACTTCGGGAAGGGGGCGCCTCGCGTGCTGCCGGCCACACTCACCACTACGGCATCACTGTCGGCCACCGATCCCGCCATCTTCTTACACAGCGCGGCGGGCTGCACGGCTGGAGGCCGGGTGCCTGGGGACTGGAGACTCCGCGAGCGGGCAGAGATCCCGGGGCAGTCCTGCGCCGGGCGGGGGCGCGGGTCCGAGAATGGCCCGGGCGCGCGCGCACAAGGGCGCGCGCGGACGCGCGCCTGGGGCCCCCACGCCGACCCGGCAGGCAGGCCCGAGAGGTGGGGGAGGGGAGCTGGAGGCGGCGCCGGCCAGGAGGTAGGAGGTGGCCGCAGCTGTCCGGACCGCGGCTGACAAGTCGGCCTGCCTTCTGCCTCGGGGCGCTGCTGTCGCGGCCCGAAGAAGAAGAAGAGAGGCAAAGGCTGCACCGCGTCGGGCCTGGGCGGCATTTAAAGGCCGCAGGGGCCCTGCTCGGGAACAGGGAACAGGGCGGGGACCCGGCTGAGCTGCCGCGGCTTGCTCAGCTTGCCCTGCCCCTCGGCCATTGGACGGTGGCAGGAGCCTGGGGCGGGAGGGACGGGCCTGTCCGGGTAGGGGCGCGCGGGAGTGCGAGAGCCAAGTACCCCTTCCCCGGGAGTGAGGGTGGGTGGGGCTGGGGGTGGGGATGGGGAAGTGAGGGAGCTTGCCAGGTGACAGGTGCTTGTGACATCCCCGCCCCTCCCTTCCAGCGAACCTCCTTAGTTCCGCGTCTCGTCCTGGGGCAGGTGGGACAGTGAAGGCCGAGGTCTACCGAAGACTGGAAGTGGGAGTGTTATTCCGCAGCTCGAGGTTTCTTTTAGAGAATTCCAAAAAAAGGTGGGAGGAAAGAACTTTCGGCTCTCTAGGGTAGAACGATAATGGAAGGTCTCTAGGCTTGCATAAGTAAATATTTGGCCCGGCAGCCACAGGCAGAGGGGATTCACGGTGGGCACTTTTATATCCCAGGAGATGAGATACGGAACAGGCGTCCCTCTCCTGTGGAAGGACGGGTAAGCCTGGGGATCCCTGAATGCTCTTTCAGGCAGGGGTCTGGCCAAGTCTTACGAAAATGAACTGGGCACAGCGACTGTCCTCAAAGAGCCTCCATTGGGCCCTGTTTTTTATAGGACACCTGCCCAGTGTTGGATAATAAATCTGTCACTGAAAATCTTTGTGGAGTAATTTCCAGGGGATGCACCCCTCTTTATTCCAAGGCACAAATTCCTTTCTGGTGGCTCCCCATTAGGTTGATTATGTAACTTCTCAGATAAAGCCGTATCGACATACCTAATGGTGACGTCCTGGCTTAAACATTCCATTGTGTGAATCATCAGGGTGTTTTACACTAATAAGTAGAGAGCATGTGTGACCTACTGCAATCCCAGAGGGGCTCTCAGAGGCTCCCTGTCAGCCACTGCTGTGTGGCCTGGGACATCACCGCGGCTTTTGTGTCCTAGCTTTCCCCTTATGGACCAGAGCTAATGGTGGGAATCTCAGTCGAGTAGGGAGAATTACCTGCACACGCCTGTAAGCCACAGTCATCTGTGTGTTGCCTGAATTAGGCATGGAAGTGCTCCACAGTTGTGGCTCACAGTTTTGCTCCTGTTTACCAATCTTACTTTATCGATTACTTCAAAAATATTAGGTAAATCACATGTAATTGATTACTTTAAAAATATTAGGCAACTGTAGAAAACTATTGACATTTTGAAAGTGTACTTCAGTATATCTCAATTTCTGAGAGTCTGGTGTCATTGAAGTTGTCATTAGCTAAGCTGAGAGTGACACAGTACATCATGATGGTTAAAGAGTGTGTGCCGTGGGTTCAAACCCTGGCTCTGCTATTGACTAGCTAGGTGATTTTGGACAAGTGACTAAACTTGCCTGTGTGTTAGTTTCTTCATCTTTGAACCAGAGGCAACAGTGATGGTGGTGGAGATAGTGCTTATCTCACATATTGGGGAGATGTTGTGTCCTGTACCTTCCTTAGAGTAGTACCTGCAATATAGTAAGCACTTACTCCAAAAATATTAAGTGCCCGCCATGTGCCAGGCACTGGGGGTCCATCCGGGACTTTTTTGGTTGAGTTTACATTCAAGTGGGGAAAGGTAGTCAACAAATAAATATATAATATGTCAACTGGTAAAAGTTCTAGATAAAAAAGTAAAGAAGTAAGGTGGGAGAGATAGGCAGTGGGGCATAGGGGGGTCAGGGAGGCCCCCTATGGAAAAGTGATGTTTGAGAAGACCCATAAAGGGAAGGGAGGAGTCATTTAGAAGTCTGGAAGAAGTTTTTGGCAGAGGAAACTATAAGGGCAAAGTCCCCGAGGTGAAATATATGAAGTGTTGGGTACAGCTGGAGTACAATGACTGAAGAGATAAGTAATTAGAAATGGAATAGGCCATGTAGACCATGTGAGGATTGGCTTTTACTCAGGAGAGCTGGGAAAACATTAGAGGTAGGAAAACAAAAGGAGCGATGTAGTTTGTCTTCTGTTGTATGTACATGCCTCCCTCTGGCTGCTGTGTGGACTGGCTGGCTTTCTTGGGGAGGGTGGTGTGTAGGAGACAGGGCAGAATCAGGCTTCAGGAGGCTCCAGCACTTTCCAAGCGAGATATAATGGTGGCTTTGACACGGTGGTAGTGGTGAAGAGGTGAGACACCGTGGGCCCTTGATTAAGTCCTAGATGTTGTCATTAGGTAGCCTTGAGAGTTCATACTGATTTCTAAGCCTCAGTTTCCTCACCACAAAACTAAGGGGTTGGGCTCATTCATCATTGCTTCTTGGCTCTTACAAAGGTCTTCCAGTTTCTGAAAAGCTGTGTAAGGAGCATCTGCATTTAAATGGGTTTGAGAATAGGTGCTGCTGAATGAAAATAATCTTGATTTGATCTTTTGATAAACGGTTTTGTGAGGTGAAGAATAACCCTTTGATTTATTTTGTAAATGCACTTGAAGATATTTGGATTGCTTCAATGAGTTTCTTACATTTTGGGAATACAAAGAATAGGAAAGTACCGAACATGCCCAAAATATTTTAACATGGAAACTTGCCTTTTATTTAAAAAATGCTCCATTCCTTCTCAGTCAGTCTGTGGAATGGTTTTGAATTTGGAGAGCAGGAAGAAAGCCTAAATGAATTTTTTGTTATAATTAAAGTTAAGCAGAGTCAAACTACCCTTCACAGGGGAAATGTCATTAGCAAATTAATGACTTATAGAACTTAAAAACATTTCTTTAGTTGTATAGTGACAGATAGACAAACTTTGCTCTGTGGTTCAATTACAGGCTTTTGTGTCTAAAAACAGTCACTGAGATTGTGACCCTTTTATGAAATGCAACAGTAAAATTTCAAGATGGACTGCATTACTACTGGAAACTGCTAAAAAGGCTGAAGAAGGGGGAAGGCAGTCAAATAGACGTCTAGCATTAAAAAGGAAGCATAAACAGGTTTTTCAAAATAGACTTTGCCAAATGACCTTCCCAGATAAAAAGAGTAGATCACTTCCTTTTCCCTTCCTATTTAATGTTTTATTCAAATCTAGTCATGCAGAATTTCTTATTTGAGGAAGAGAGTACAGCACTACCATCGATTCAGTAGCCATTCTATGAGTATTGCTAGGTGCTATGATACCGGGGACCAAAAAAGACATATTTGAAAATGCACGAGTCTTGTCCTTGAGAAGCTTACAATTCACTCTGGCGACTGAGGCAGAAGGGTAAAATAATAAAGGCCTCAGACCTCTAGCCTTAGCACTGGTGGCGGCGGCGGGGAAGGATTCACTCCCATTTGGAGGATTAGGTCCGCTTTCGGGAGGAGACGGCATATCTCTGACCACATGCATACCTGCAACTTCCACAAAACCCACAAAAGAAAGTCTTTGAAGACCACATTGCCGCTCTGTTCATTGTCTGAATTCTAAACCTGTCTTCTCTTGACCTGGCAGCCAGCTGAACCCTGTTCCCAGAGGCTGTCTTTTGTCTCTTGCACGGTCCAAGTAGACTTGTGCCTCCTTCCCTTGTACTGTCACTGCCTTCATAGGCTTCCACTTAGATCTTGTTCTCTAGGGTTGACTTTGACCTTCAAACTACTTGCTTTCTATCTCTGTTTATATAAACATGGGCTAGAGCCGGGGTTCTTAAACTCAGTGCTATTGACATTATAGGCTGGGAAATCCTCTGTTGTGGGGGCTGTCCTATACAGTATAGGACATTGATGCCAGTAGTGTCCCCTTCCAACCAAAAAAGTCCTCAGACATTAACAGATGTTGGGGGTGGGGGAAGGAAAAGAACCAGTTATTCCTATTACTCATATATATATATGTGTGATATGAAAGTTATTCAGTCTAATCTAGAGTAGAAACTTGCACACCAGAAATGCCTTCCTTTTTATTTGGCAAGTTATCGTTTCCCAACACTACACGAGCACTTCACAAACATTCCGCAAAGGATTCCTAAAATGAAGGAGGACCTGTGGATGTAACGCCTTTGTAATATTGAGAAATGTGTGTGAATTTTGCATTCTATTCCACAATATTGTCATGTTTATTTTTGGTAAAAACATAATGTTCTCTCCACACCCATAAGTGCAGTAAAATTAAAACATCCCAAATGTTTTCCTTCTTTATCCTGTGGTTTGATCCGCCCCCCACCCCAAACCCCAAAGAGTGGCTGCAGTACGCTTTGAGGAAGAGGGCACTGCGCAGTTTTATAGGCCAGTCGGGCTTTCAACTTTCCATAATTCTTTTTGTCAGGCCAGTCTCTGCTCATGATAAATATTCATGTAGGCAGCAAAATATAAAGCTCCAGCACCCTTTTGTTTACCTAGTTAGGTAGGAGGGCAAACATTTATCAAGCTATTTTTTTATATTTCAATTCATTATTCAAGTTCTTAATTATTTTAGGAACAATGGTCATGGTTATCAAATAATTATGTTGGACACACACAAAAAATTGTGTTGTAGCAAAGTAATTAGGGGGCAACCATAAAACCTGGCAGTCAGTGCCAGCTCCTAACATTTCATTATTTTCAGTTTATTTATGAGGAAACTAGAACCAGCCTCCTGCTTGTGTTTTAATTACTTAGCTCAGGAAGAATTGATTTCAGAAAACGTCCATGCTGAAGAATAATGAGCCCATTCCCAGGAGGAGTTCAAGGCTTCAAAGGCATGCACCGTTTCCTGCCTGGGGATGTCACTGTGGGCCCATTAGCGTGTCTGAGACATCGACAAAATGCACCCCCTCCAGACAGCGCTCACTCCTGTGAAAGGTAAGGAGAACCCTCCATGATGGGGAAGCAGAAAACATTGTGCTCAGCTGAGGGAAACAGAAAGGACGCTGCTTCCCGCTTTTGGAACTGGTGGCATAAGTGAAAGATATTTTAAGATTCTTTCCAGCAGGGCTTTGTGCGTCTACTGAGAGCTAGTGATGTATTTCTTCTGCGCCTTCTCTCCA